GTGATGTCAGATACAACAACATGTCAGATGTGATGTTAGATACAACAACATGTCAGATGTGATGTCAGATACAACAACATGTCAGATGTGATGTTAGATACAACAACATGTCAGATGTGATGTTAGATACAACAACATGTCAGATGTGATGTTAGATACAACAACATGTCAGATGTGATGTTAGATACAACAACATGTCAGATGTGATGTTATAAACAACAACATGTCAGATGTGATGTTAGATACAACAACATGTCAGATGTGATGTTATAAACAACAACATGTCAGATGTGATGTTATAAACAACAACATGTCAGATGTGATGTTATAAACAACAACATGTCAGATGTGATGTTAGATACAACAACATGTCAGATGTGATGTTAGATAAAACAACATGTCAGATATGATGTTAGATACAACAACATGTCAGATGTGATGTCAGATACAACAACATGTCAGATGTGATGTTAGATACAACAACATGTCAGATGTGATGTCAGATACAACAACATGTCAGATGTGATGTTAGATACAACAACATGTCAGATGTGATGTCAGATACAACAACATGTCAGATGTGATGTTAGATACAACAACATGTCAGATGTGATGTTAGATACAACAACATGTCAGATGTGATGTTATAAACAACAACATGTCAGATGTGATGTTAGATACAACAACATGTCAGATGTGATGTTAGATAAAACAACATGTCAGATATGATGTTAGATACAACAACATGTCAGATGTGATGTTAGATACAACAACATGTCAGATATGATGTTAGATACAACAACATGTCAGATGTGATGTCAGATACAATAACAAGTCAGATGTGATGTCAGATACAACAACATGTCAGATATGATATTAGATATAAAAACATGTCAGATATGATGTTATAAACAACAACATGTCAGATATGATGTTATAAACAACAACATGTCAGATATGATATTAGATACAACAACATGTCAGATATGATATTAGATACAACAACATGTCAGATATGATGTTAGATCCAACAACATGTCAGATATGATATTAGATACAACAACATGTCAGATATGATGTCAGATACAACAACATGTGTAAGGTTGCATTAAATTTGGAGCTGAGTGTGAAACAAGCAAGAAGGAATGTAGTACAATCCAGTAGGTTCTACAGGCATAGAAGAGGGAAGGTTTTCAGCCAAAGAAAACAAGCAGCAAAGTAGGGCACTCACTGTCTGTGTGATTATTTATCTTGACCAGCTGAGTGGATAATGCGGTATTTCAGATCCCCCTGCACACAGCTATGGTAGACAGCAACACCCTTTGCGATGACAACATCTCTGCGATTTGGTTTGTCGTAAAAGAATTCAACAATCGTATTCTCTGCTTCAGTCTCATTACCTACAAGACGTCGGTTTGTTTCAATGTAGACGTAACCATGCTTTCGTCCATAAGGCAGATATTTTCTAACACCGCTCACTTTTCCGGTTTGTTCTATATCTGGAATGCGGTAATTGACCCCAGGTTTGGAAACAGCAAACCCTGTGCCACACTGGAATTTAGTTTCTTGGCAGGGAGGAGACAACCACTGCCTCTTGCGGCTAGTGGCCGACACTACAAACCTGACCGTCAGTTTAGCCACAAGACTGAAGAACTTGAGAACTTCAGGACATCTGACATTTGAAGGGATGTATTCTTGTCGAAAGTTGCCGAGGGGGAAGTAAGAGTAGTGACCTGGGTTTTTTACACAGCTGTTTTCACTAGGTTGAACTTCCTTGTTGCTGTAATGGACCTCTGGATGAAAGTCAACTGGCAAAAATAAAAAAGTATAAATGATTATAACAATTGAAGTTAGAAACAAAACTATCCTAATTATCATGGGTTGAACAGTTTCTTGTTGTTTCAATTACGACTACTAATTCCACAAAAAAGATTTTTGTTTTAAAACACAGACGACATTTATCAGTGTCTTGTGTGGCTATGGGTGTCTGTGGCTATGCAGTCAGGTCACAACAATACTCGAATACACCAAGATTTAAAACAGACACTGTACAGCACTGAAGTTTATACTGATAATGATCTTTTTTGTTCAAGGCATCCTGGGCAGACATTAGTCTGTGAGACATCCTGGGCAGACATTAGTCTGTGAGACATCCTGGGCAGACATTAGTCTGTGAGACATCCTGGGCAGACATTAGTCTGTGAGACATCCTGGGCAGACATTAGTCTGTGAGACATCCTGTGTAGACACTAGTCTGTGAGACATCCTGTGTAGACACTAGTCTGTGAGACATCCTGGGCAGACATTAGTCTGTGAGACATCCTGTGTAGACATTAGTCTGTGAGACATCCTGCGTAGACACTAGTCTGTGAGACATCCTGGGCAGACATTAGTCTGTGAGACATTCTGTGTAGACACTAGTCTGTGAGACATCCTGGGCAGACATTAGTCTGTGAGACATCCTGTGTAGACATTAGTCTGTGAGACATCCTGGGCAGACACTTCAATAATGTATCCTAGGAAACTACATGACTCCCTCCATGTCCTCTCCCTCCATTCATGCTACTTTCTCCATGTCCTCTCCCTCCATTCATGCTACTTACTCCATGTCCTCTCCCTCCATTCATGCTACTTTCTCCATATCCTCTCCCTCCATTCATGCTACTTTCTCCATATCCTCCCCATCTGATGCACTTCTGTCTCTGTCGCTCTTCTTCCTATTTTAGTCCTAAACCTATATGGTCCTGTGGGCTCAATACAACCCACACTCTTTGATCAACCCACACTCTTTGGTCAACTCACACTCTTTGGTCAACTCACACTCTTTGGTCAACCCACACTCTTTGATCAACCCACACTCTTTGGTCAACTCACACTCTTTGGTCAACTCACACTCTTTGATCAACCTACACTCTTTGGTTAACTCACACTCTTTGGTCAACCCACACTCTTTGGTCAACCCACAATATTTGGTTAACTCACACTCTTTGGTCAACCCACAATATTTGGTCTTTCTCATTCTTTTGTTGTCTCACTGAAACCATGTTGCAGCCCAGTGTTGTGGCTTTCTGTATTTGTCTTGCGCTTATCGGCTGGTTTGTTTGATGGATTTTTAATCTTTTTGCAGGTTTCAGCTACACCATTTGTCCATCTCATTCTTGGTCTTCCCCTTGCCTTCCACTCAGATGTTCTGCTGTAACAAATCTCATATGCAGTTTAGTGTGGCTGCATTCTCACTAGATGACCGACTGAATCATTTCATTCTTTGTCTGCCAATATAATTCGGACATGATTTCATTTCAGCTTTCTCTCTAATGCTGGTTTTTATAACACTGTTCCTTTTAGTGTTGTTAGTGACCTCACAGAGACAACGCATTTCACGGGTATATATGTTCTATTTTAGTGCTCTATTCATTGCCCATTTGGTCAAGCCCCGTATTTAGTAAACCCACACTATTATGTGCGGCTTATATGTATACATATTTTATAGGCCAACTGGTTCTTGGTAGATGGTGTTGTTAATTTCTGCCTCTACTTCCCAAAACACTTCCAGGTGTCCCTTTTCAATATCAGTCAACTGAAAAGTTATTTCAGTTTTGAAACCTGATCCACGGGCATAGCAACCTCTGGCTACCTGACACAAGCAGAAGTCAAGCAGAACATACCAAACTAGATGCAAGCCGACTGACAGAAGTCAAGCAGAACATACCAAACTAGACACAAGCCGACTTACAGAAGTTAAGCAGAACATACCAAACTAGATGCAAGCCGACTGACAGAAGTTAAGCAGAACATACAAAACTAGACACAAGCCAACTGACAGAAGTTAAGCAGAACATACCAAACTAGACGCAAGCCGACTGACAGAAGTTAAGCAGAACATACCAAACTAGGCGCAAGTCGACTTACAGAAGTTAAGCAGAACATACCAAACTAGACACAAGCCGACTGACAGAAGTCAAGCAGAACATACCAAACTAGACACAAGCCGATGACAGAAGTCAAGCAGAACATACCAAACTAGATGCAAAGCCGACTTACAGAAGTCAAGCAGAACATACTAAACTAGATGCAAGCCGACTTACAGAAGTTAAGCAGAACATACCAAACTAGACGCAAGCGGACTTACAGAAGTCAAGCAGAACATACCAAACTCAAGCTGACTGGATGGAGAGCAACTTGACCCACTGGCTATCAACCCAGCTGTGTGTTGGTCACTGGCTATTGGCTCAGCTGTGTGTTGGTCACTGGCTATTGGCTCAGCTGTGTGTTGGTCCCAGGCTGTTCGCTCAGGTGTGTGTTGGTCCCAGGCTGTTGGCTCAGGTGTGTGTTGCTCACTGGCACCCATGGCAGGTGTGTGCTGGTCACTTGCTGTCCCCTCAGATGTGCTTTTATCTCTGGATGAAACTGCAAAAAAATTTTTTTATCAGAGTGTAAGGCAACAACAAGAAAATGAACAGTCAGATGAAATACAATAAAAAATCAAGGGATTTGAAGTCACATGACCATATTTAGTACTAAAGGATTGAATTTCTGGCATTTTGATAGACAGATTCTTCTTCTTCTTCTTCTTCTGCTAGCTAATGTTATATGGACTTAGAATGATTTTATAAATATCCAGATAGCCCTTAGCAGACAAGAAGATTCTCCCGCCGTTCTCATACAGTCTCATTCTGTCCTACAGTCTCATTCTCACCTACAATCTCAGTCTGTCCTACAGTCTCAGTCTGTCCTGCAGTCTCAGTCTATCCTACAGTCTCATTCTGTCCTACAGTCTCATTCTATCCTTCAGTCTCATTCTATCCTAAAGTCTCATTCTATCCTAAAGTCTCAAGCTGTCCTCAGTCTCATTCTATCCTACAGTCTCATTCTGTCCCACAGTCTCAGTCTATCTTACAGTCTCATTCTGCCCTAAATTATAATCTAATCAAATCAGAAGATATAAGAAAAATGCCTTACATCCTAACTGCTCAAGGCCGTTGCCTGATGGGTGCTTGAACTGTTGCTGTTCTGTTGTGGAATCACTCATCTGGTTTTCTGTCTCCCTGGAGCCAGTACCAGATGTTGTTGAGGCTTCACAGTGTGAGATCCAGGTGGGTGCTATGGTCATACATTTCTGCTGATCATCTCTGATCCCTGAGGGATCTGATGAAAATATGCCTGACTTGTTCACCTGGTCAAGGCAACAACCAATCCTTGGGCTGGGCTCTGCGACACTGGAAGGTCCATCATCTTCTATGTCATGTCCAGCATGAACTTCATCAGCACAACCTACACTGATGGCTGGATTGCCAGGGATGTTGCTGGGGTAAACGACTTCATCAGATCCAGCTCTGTGAGTATATGGTGCTGCAGATGGTTGCAGTGAACCCGCTGTAAGCGACCACTGTGACTGACAACTTGTTATTTCTTGGGCATGTTGCACTGGAGAAATATCACATGCTCCTTCCTTTAATACTGCCTCTGAAAGTGGGGATGAACATGCGTTTGACCACTGGTCACTTTCAACCTCTTGGTCTGCCTCATGAGCTGCAGCTTTAGCAAAGCTGCAATTGACTTTGTGATATTTCACATCTGAAGGTGACGAAGTAAAGTCACTAATTTTCAGTGACGTATGACATTGGTCACATGTCACAACCAAGTCATATCCTGTATATTTAAAACCAGCATTGGAGAGCTGGAGAAACGACACCATTTGTGGCATTTCGTGAAAGGCAAGCTTGAAAAAAGATGCCGTTCGCTGCCAGGTGTCTGTCTGTTTTACTGGATAAACTGAAACAACATTCCGCCATAGCACATCTGAATATTTGAAGATCCAATCATGTTGTTTAGGCAGATTACCTGATTTCTCATCAGAAGATTTGTCTTGATTTTTTCTACTTGTAAACTTTGATGTCAAAATTGACACATCATCGGATGTACAAGTTGCATCATATTCATCACTGGATAAACTGTTTTCTGTTTCATTGCTGGAAGCATTGTTTTGTTCTCGTGCTCCTTTATTACAAGCACAGTAATAAATAAAAAAGCCATACAGCAAAACAATGTTATGTGACTCATAGCAACCGTAAACTTGCTTTCGAATTTGTGTACGTACGGGTATCCAACTCAGAGAACGAGGACTAAAATGTGGACGTTGGTACTTCAGAGTCCACAAATAAGGATTAGACTTATCCAATGAAAATGAGGACCACGAGTAGCGATCAAATTTACTCCAGAAATGAGAAGACCACGAGTAGCGATCAAATTTACTCGAGAAATGAGAAGACCACGAGTAGAGATCAAATTTACTCCAGAAATGAGAAGACCACGAGTAGAGATCAAATCTACTCCAGAAATGAGAAGACCACGAGTAGCGATCAAATTTACTCCACAAAAATGACAACAATGTGTCTGTCAGGACTGACGACTTAGTGCTGTCGAAGAATGACTGTAAAATGTGGTTTTCTGAGCCCAACTTGCAATTCTTAGAGAGAGATACAGCTGATCCTGTGAGACACTCTGGGCTGAACTGAAGTGTGGGAACCAAACAGGCAAGAATGTAGCATGCAAGAAAGATACGTAGCCTGATATATCTGCTTCCTCCCATGACTGATGATGCTATAGTTCAAAGGTGAAATGTCACCAGCTAGTCATTAAGGAAGGTAGTTCATGGAAATAAACAAATCAAGTCCTGTAGTTTGAACTGAGATGTACGACTGATCAAACAATGTTGAAATTGAGGTATTTTACAAACACTGTTAATTGAACACCCTTTAGAGTCCGGTGTTTCAAAATTATTTCCAGCTGAAATCTTTTTAGAGTCTGGTGTTTCAAAAATATTTCTGGCTGAAAACCCTTTAGAGTCTGGTGTTTCGAAAATATTTCTGGCTGAAACCCTTTAGAGTCAGGAGTTTTGAAAATATTTTCTGCTGGATACACTATAGGGTGTTGTCTTTTACAAACAACTGGGGTCTCAACGATGATGATCTCACACCAAAATGTATCCATGCAATAGCTGAATGAGGCAAGGCATGCCTGAAAGTACAAAAGAACCAAAATCATAAAATTATCACCCTTGACATCCTTTTATTCCAGTCTAGAACATGTTTTATAGACTCATGTTTGTTTACTCCCTATGTTTTATAGACTCATGTTTGTTTACTCTCCATGTTTTTATTTCAGTCTAGTCTGTTTCTCTGTTGCGATTACAATGTACAGTCACCCCTTGCGATTTTACATGGGCACTTCTTCCCAGAAAAAAATAAGGTGTTGGTACTAAATACATAGTTCTAAACAAGGTGCCGGTACTAACCAGACTAAGTAGCACTGAAAATATGTCTACGAGAAAGTGCCTGTGCAACATTAAAAAGCTCTGTATCTTACTTATGTCATTACTCATATTTGTATGTTTTGAAATTATTAGTTTCAACTCCTCTAAAAGTACTTTTGTATGGCTCTGTGGCTGAGAAGTTAGTCAATGCATTTCCTAATCTTCATCATACAAGGTTTTGATGGTTTCTTGTTTCTGGCCGCTTTGGAACAGTGGTCAGAGAGCCACACTGTGGATGAGATTATTATATTTAAAAAGACAGGAGTGAGTGCACTGCAGATAACTGTCAGACAGGAGTGGGTGCACTGCAGATAACCATCAGACAGGAGTGGGTGTACTGCAGATAACCATCAGACAGGAGTGGGTGCACTGCAGATAACCATCAGACAGGAGTGGGTGCACTGCAGATAACCATCAGTCAGGAGTGGGTGCACTGCAGATAACCATCAGACAGGAGTGGGTGCACTGCAGATAACCATCAGACAGGAGTGGGTGCACTGCAGATAACCATCAGACAGGAGTGGGTGCACTGCAGATAACCGTCCTTGTGGAGATGGCACACTTATTTTAATAGTACTCTTGGCTATTTAATATTGCACAAGTTTGCTGAAGACTGGTGCAGTTAAACAGTCTGCTTCTATGCCTATTTGAACACTAGACCACTAGGCTAGCATACTAACTACTGCTTGACTACGACTCTTCGAATCTGCAGACTGTTCAATGGGAAGATCCTGTTTATCTGAAGGGTCTAGGTTTTTTTTTACCATTTGTCGACTGTGGTCTTCGCATCCTACAATATCATTTAATTTTTACACTGAAATATATATTTTTTTTAAAGAAAAGAAAGAGTTAGTGCTCATCTTATTAAAGTCATCAACATCATGTGCCCTGCCAACCGGCATAGGTGTCTCCACAGATCACGATCACTGGTTGCCTGGAACAGCTCTCTTGACATCCCTTCATGCCATCATTTCAGCCCATCCAGCATCATCTCTTTTGGTTTGCCTCTACCATTTTTTCCACAAATCTTTTTAGTTGTCACGATGTTCTCTATTGTCTCTCTTCTCATTATGTGGCCAAATAAAAGTGTTTGTCTCTTTCTCATTGTTGTATATAGAGATCTTCTTTCATTAGCTCACACTATAGTACCTAAAATAAAGGGGCGGGGGATGCTACCACATCATGTACATGAAAGGTGTTAGTTGAGTGTACTGTTGGAGCCGCCAGGGTGTAGCAGCTAGATTCTCGCTAGTTCTTTAGTTTTATATGACCATACTTGTCGTCTCGGCTTCGAGATTTTGCAAAAAATTTCTAGGGATCCCTAGGGGTTTCCCTGGACAGCAGCATATTATGGGGGAGGGGGGGGGGAGTTTAAGGCCAGTGTTAAATAAATAGCCATTACTACTAAGCCTACCCTTAAACCCCCCCCCCCCCACCACCCCCCCCCCCCCATACTATGGAACACCCTGGGGATTTCCCTACTAAATCTCTGAGCCAACAAGATGTGGTTGTATACAATTAAAGTACCCTTGTCTGCTGATCTAAAGCCAGGGGTTAAAATGTGGATAAAACAAAAGATAATCCCACTAGCTCGCATCTGATTGGTCGACCTTCAGCCCACCTCACTTCTGATCGGTCGGCCTCCAGCCATCAGACTTTCACACAAGGTGATGGAGCTGTTCCGCAATGTTGACGATATCGCGTGTTGTATATTTCACCATGCCAGAGCTTTTAACACTCCAAAAACTTGTAGAAACTGGGTCTAACACAGAATTATGAAACCTATGTCACAGGCAGTCTCTTTCTCGAAATAAAAACGTAAATACAACACAACAACATACCGCCACACCCATAACCTTGACCACAGTAGACTAGTCCAACAAACTTATCAATGAATTTGACCTATTTTTCGTGGGGAGACCAACGTTTTAATAACCCAAATTTGTATAGAGCCAGAATTTCGACAAACATCACCTTAGCTCCCATGTCAAACCCGTCGTAAATGGGTGCCAGGTAAAGTCCTGGGAAGTAAAGCCTTAAAGGCGACCGGCGTGATGTCTGACACATCACCCAGCAAATGCCCATTGGTCTATAAAATTTAGGCCTGTGCATGCCTGTATCATGTATGTTCAATCGGCCTGCATGCGTGAAAAAGGTTCCTTGGCGACAATACTGTACAACAAACCCTTACCTTGGCATGCCTGTAACCAGCGAGGATCTCTGCTCCAGCTAACGTGCCCATGACAACCACTGACCAGCGTACAAATTCCGATATAACCAGAGCGTGCAGAGATCACACCGGACTGCGCGTCAGTTATCACTCTTCCGATATCAACTCTGGATTCCGGGCACTTTTTGCTCTTGTCCTTGTCAAAACGTTTGAACGGTTGATGCACAAGGTCGCTACTACTATCATTACTATCACTTATCACAACTATTAGTACTAGGATTATGATAAACGATTCCAAACAGACTTTGCATCAACAATATGAATGCACAATGATATTGAATTATAAATCTAATAATTGCAAACGTGCAGATAAACACGAAATTCTATTGCTAGTTGAATTCCAGTAGACAGACTGGAAATCCGCCCATCTCCATGGCATAGACTGTTGAGGGTATCTGTTCTTCCCCGACCAGGAGGGAAATCAATACAGCTGCTCGGGAATTCCCCATTCTGACGTGGGGCTATTTCTGTCTGCCAATGGAAACCGCTTTACCTGGGAGGCCAACGATAACATGCTTGGAGAAGGGGCGGGGGCCAACGATAACATGCACACACACACCACCTCCTC